ATGATATTGGTTTCTTTAGTAATTCCACGCTTGATAATTGTCAAAATTTATGCCTCAACTATTGCAGTTGTAAAGGCTTCCAATTCAAATTTGATAAAGATAAAGGCTATTATAATTGTTACCCTAAGGCCAGTTTGTTCAATGGGTATCGTTCAAGTGGTTTTGATTTCCCAATTTATCTAAGATTGCCCCAATCTATTATAACCTCATTTGATCAAAAGCCTCTTCAACAAACCAACATAAAGTGCACAGTCGATGCTGCTTCACTCGGCCGAGCATACCAGAAAAAAGGTCAACATGGGTGGGTAAAGTCATCCTTGCGGTGCACTTTGGCAGTTGGGACTTTTGAGATCATCTGTTTCTTCACTTACTTGTTCAAAACCCGACGAGGACCTAGTGCAAGAATACAGGGTTACACTCAGGTTGCAACAGGATTCAGGAAATTCACTTTTGCTGAGTTGAAAAAAGCATCAAAAAACTTCAGCGCAGAAATAGGACAAGGAGGGGGAGGCATTGTGTATAAAGGCGTGTTGACAGATAATCGAGTTGCTGCCATAAAGTGTCTCAATGAAGCCAACCAGGGAGAAGCCGAATTTCTTGCAGAGTTGAGTACTATTGGCAAGTTGAACCATATGAATTTGATTGAGATATGGGGATATTGTGTTGAAGGTAAGCACAGGCTATTGGTTTATGAGTACATGGAGCATGGTTCTCTAGCAAAAAATTTGCATTCTGGCAGACTTGATTGGAAAAAGAGGTATGATATTGCTCTTGGTACAGCCAAAGGACTTTCTTACTTGCATGAAGAGTGCTTAGAGTGGGTTTTGCACTGTGATGTGAAGCCTCAGAACATACTCCTAGATTCGAATTACCAGCCGAAGGTGGCAGATTTTGGCCTGTCCAAACTATTGAATAGAGGTGGGACAGATAAATCAACGTTTTCTAGGATAAGGGGAATTAGAGGCTACATGGCCCCTGAATGGGTTTTCAATCTACCCATAACCTCCAAAGTTGATGTTTATAGTTATGGAATTGTTGTGCTGGAATTATTAACCGGAAGAAGCCCAGTTGAAGGCCATTCTATGGAGGAAAGCACCAGTGCAATGGAGCCAAGGAGACTAGTTACGTGGGTGAAGGAGAAAATGCACGAAGCTAATGGAAGAGCATCACCAATAGCAATTGCAAAAATTGTAGACCCTGTCATAAATGCTGAATTTGATATGGCAAGGGTGGAAATTCTTGTTCAAGTTGCTCTCCAATGCGTAGAGGAAGACAAAGATGCAAGACCAACAATGAGCCAAGTGGTGGACACGTTGCTCCATCAAGAAAGTGATGAATATTAGGATACATCTCACATACTTTTCAATGAGTTGTGATCATCTTAAATTGCTGTGTGTTAAAATTAGATATTTGATGTTCATATAATTTATATGTTTCCACCTTACTGTTGTAAATAAAATATTAAAGTAAGAAATATTTCTCTTTCTGAATTTAAGGCAAATAGTAATTTACTTTAAATGACAAAACAATCCTCTTATTGTTGAATAATAGAAAGAATTGTGGTTTTGATCTCAAATGTTTAGGGCATGAGCAGTTTTAGTTCATAAAGTTTAGATGAAAGTAAATGTGGTCCCAAGTATTTCAATTTTTAAGCACAATTAATCCCATTGACTGATTTTTGTTAATTGCTATCCAAGTCTAGTCACGTACCGTCACATGCTAACAACTAATTTTTTGAAAAAATTAATAAAATTTATGAAAAAATGTTTGTTAGCCATAATCTTTTAATAAAATAGGACTAATTACCCACGTAATCACGTTAGTAATAAGTCTTTAGCTCAGAATAGAATAGCACTAATTACTCCAGTGTCGATCACGTCACATGGGTGAAAGATAAGATGCTTGAAACTAATGGAAGAACATCACCAACAGTGATTGCAAAAATTGCAAACCTTGCCATGAACGTTATGACAAATATTGAAGTTCTAGTTCGAGTTACTCTCCAACTCACAGGGGAAGACCTAGATGCAGGACCAACAATGAGCTACGTAGTTGACAAGTTACTCCATCAAGAAAGTGACGAATGTTAGAATGCATTTCATATGCTCTTCAATCAGTTGCAATCATCTTGAATTACTGTTAGTATGTGTGTTAAAGTCAGATATTTTCTATTTATGATTGTGGACGAAATATTTGTTATTCAATGATTTTAACGTAAATAGCAATTTCCTTAAAATACCGCATAATCCTCCTATTGTTCAATAACTTCCCTATAAACTTTCCACCTTGTAGATTTATATAATATGTAAAATGTTTAAGGAAATACCTCTACTTAACCCCTGGTGATATGAATAAAGATGCCTTTTAGAATGTGTTTGACTCTAAATATTTACAGAAACTAGGAAGACATGGGTATTTCTCCTCCTAAACATAGATAGGAAGTCAATTTGTGTAAGAAAGAAAGAAATAATTAATTCATAATTGTACTCTTCATCGTCTAAAGTTCTTTTGGTTCTTTTTACCAAGCTGTTTAGAGCATATATAACTGGTTATATTCTCCATTTACAAGAACAAAGGACAAAGAGTAGAATTTTTATTCTTTTTTATGGATCTATCATCATTTTCCTTTTTAATCAATTTTTAATAGACCTATAAATAAATGCCAAACAAATATCATAACTTACTTGTTAAAGACCATATTATTTATAGTGGTTTAGAAATCATCATTACAAACTGTCAAAAAATTTAAATAAATTGTATATTATTAAATTAAGGCCAATTGAATAAATAAAGTTTTTAAGCTATAATAGGAAGTAGTCCCTTATTTTCTATTTTTAGAGTTAAATAGGAATCTGTTCGGCATTTGTGATTTATGGTCTTCAATTGATACAACTACATTATGTTCTATATTTTATAATACATGATAAAAGTTAATACAATAAATATCATAAACGTACATATAATTGTATTTTTTTGAGCATATTTCAATTTAATATCAACCACCTTACATGTGTATAAATAAGTATTTGTTATGTATTGTCTAAATTAGTAGATATTGTTGTCACACTTTATTGGTAGAAAATATGTGTTTCACTCCATAAAACACAAAACATCCAAATATCATCATCCATTTTGCAACTTATGCATGAGATGCTATACATTTGACAATAATAAATAAGATCTATTATACAACATATCAGAGTGTATAATAAATAAGAAACAATATATTTGTTAATGCATGTGTATTTTTTTCATATCTTTGTATGTTTGTTAAGATTAGTTAGGGGGAATTATGTAATAGATACTGTTGATAGGTTGGGGGTTTGTCGATTTGAAAAGCCTAAATCGTGGTAAGCTTATCTAATGAAGTTGAAGGATAGCGAGATAACAAAAGATTTCTGACTATTTGCATGTCAATTTCACTTGGGATGCAAAAACATATTTTTGATCCATGATTATGCACGTCCATCATTGATAGGAAGTAGAAAGCAAGCCACGTCCATGATCGATAGGAAGTAGAAAGCAATCATTAGAGCCGCTATCATCAAAGATTTTACAAGAATGTTTCAATCCTACCCTAACCCTTCTCCTTCAATTAGAGATTTCAAATGCGCCCCAAATATTATGAGCAAGCATAGAAAGTATCAACTAAATCCAATCCATCATAGGCTTCAACCAGAGACATGCATGTCAGTTCTTAGTCATTTGCCATCGTGCCCAACAACAAATTGTTGAACTCCTACCCAAACCCAACCATGATAATTACCAGCACATATGGACCACGTCATTATCACTAGCGAGAGAAAAGATTTTTGATCTTCAACTATGCATGCGCCTAGATACATAGCGAGAAAGTAGAAAGCAACCCCTAGGACAGTTTTTGCCAAACATTTTACCACTGAAAAAGTTTTTGTCCATTTGTTTTTCTTCAACCTAGAAATCACCAATTGCATAGCAAACACTACCAACACACCCAGAAGGCACAAAAAAAACACATTACACCACAGATGTTCATTAGAGAACTTCATATGATGATTCAAGCGTTTGCCATCAGGGCCAACGACAAATTGTCGAACTCCGACCCCAAACCCAACCATAATAATTATTAATACATATGGCTAGCGGCTGAACTTAACCAAAAATTTATAATTTTTCCTTATTTTCCTCAACATGCCAGCTGCCATGACAAGGTGGCTTTCAAGTTTATATAATTCCCAAGATCACCTCAGGCAGGAAGCTGTTAAAGCAAGCTTATGGTAAAACTATTGAAGAGTATATGAGAAAATAGGGTTTGGATGGCAAGGGTAGACATCTCAAGTAGAAGTACCAGGTGAAGCTGCCCACCCCAAGTATGTTAACCTCTAAGGATTATACTTAATCTTCTCTATTTAGATTACTGGATAAACTGCTAGGCATTTCATGTGCACCCATATTTATAATATTCAGAAAATATCTTTAAAATATGTATCGTGCAAAGCACAAACAGTACACTACAACCAAAAGCATTTATTAATCTGCGAACATGTAATTACAGAAGCTCTACTACTTCGACTTACATGGTCAAAATACGAGCATCATGCTATGTATGTGCTGAAAGCTTTACCAAAACCATTATCTCAATTGTTGGATGGACTATGAATAGTCATTTTTAAGTTCTTCCATCTTAAAAAAGGGGAAAAAGGCAATTTTACGCATTGCAATCTGGAAAATTTCACTTTCAGTCAAAACAAGATATGATTGAATCAGTTCTCAAGAAATGCAGGCCAAAGACAATATTGAATGACTAACCAAGCAAATAAAGCACCATTAAATCACCAGCATAACAAAATAAATTTTTATTTAGAATAAACCAAAGGAAAAATGATCAAAAGCTTAAACAGACTCAAAAGTCTTTAGCTTAAACTGTAACGACCCCACCTCCCCCTAAGGCGAACCAAAGGGTTTAGCGGGCCGCCTGCCCAGCTCTCGCCGGGACTCACTCACTTACTACATTCCTCAAGTAAATTACAAGGTACAACTCAAATAATACATCCAATTCTCCAAAATTACATATCATAAGCGAAGCGGAAACCAGTTCTAAGCATAAAATATAGATTTACATCCGATTCAATTCCAAATATTTATACAGCCCAAAAGTACATAAACCAAAACCAAAACTAAACTATACAAGATGTACGCCATCCAGCCACACAAAGATCCAAAAACAAGTTCTTCCTTTACTTCGATCCCTGTGGGGAGAAGAAGATAATAGGGGGTGAGCTAGAAGCTCAGCGAGTGACCAGTAAAATGAACAGCCAAGTATATTTCACAATCAAGCATTGATATGATGTCATGATGCAGTAATCAAATGTTCATTTATTGCTCATGTGAGCCAGTGAAATTCTTGTGCTTAAATATCCAATGCTCGTTTAGATCAAGTAACCGTGAAACAGAAGTAAGAAGCCATCGGGCTCCAAAGAATGTGTAAACAATAGTGGAGACATTGGTTCTAAGCACAAGACTTTCCAGGAACTCATTGGAGCCAAATTATGTCATGGCACACACACAAACACAATGATATGCAATTGTGCAATCAATGCAAGAGTCATGTCAAAAGTAATCTTTGAGAAGTAGTGGAGGGATCACTCACTCAAACTATAGTGCTTCACGTAGTCACGTTCAATTATACTCCAGGTTTGGAGTCCAGATCTGCGATTGAAATCCAATTTGAGAACTTTGAAACACAAGTAAGATTTGAAACTTAAACGTTCCGTTCATAAGAATCAACCAATTGAAATTCATTTGAAAGGCATTCGTGAAACACTTGCTCGCTTTTCAAATCATAAGGTTTTTATAGCATATATACTTGGAAACAATACTTGAGTTAAAAGTACAAGGAAATACAAGTTTACATTGGCCATTATATCTTTTCCTCAAGAGTACAAGTTCGTTTAGGTTTTTAACGTATAACCATCGATAACAAAGTAGCAAAAGTTCTCGCTAGTTCAAGTGGTAATCACTTAACCTTCACTCAAGTTGCAAATATAGTTTTCTAGTTCTCGAGTAAAAATTCGGGCAGCATGCCCTTTGTATTTACCTAATTTTCCAGCTATTTAGGCTTCATTATTTTTCTCAACCAAAATCCAACATCACATATATCAGCAATTCATGACAAGAGCCGTTCCATAGGCTCACAATATCATAATAATAAGATTCACAACGATAGCAAGTGCAGAAATTCAATCTAGCACAAAACAGATTTGACGTATGAAAGCGGAAATAACATATCCGAGGCTACGCTTATCGGATTGAGGTGCAACCTATGCCGTTTCGAAGCTAAGACACAGGGCTACAATGTTCATGAAGGTCACTTAGTCCAGTTTCTAGTGTAACTTGGTCAAATTCTCAAAATACTAAACCAGAAACCAATTCGTCGGCTGTTTAAACGCAGAACACTGTAATGGTCATAACTCAGTATACACAAGTCCAAATCATGTGTTCTTAGAGGCATTTTAAAGCTACTTCAGAACACTACAACTTTCATGTTTTGGCCCAGAGCTAATTCAGAATGGATCCTGGTCAAAAATCGTGATAAACTGGACTGAACTGAAGAAACGGACTGCTGGGAAATACTTAGAACAGTAGGGGTATTTTGGACTTTTCACATCCTACGTTGCTCCGATTGAGCTGAAATTTTGTAGGTACCTATAAAATGCCATTCTCTACAACTTTTCTTCTTTGACCTAAGGCCAAAACAGCCTCTAACATATAGATAAAAATTCAGACAGAATGTTGAGACAATTTTCCAGATTTTGGAATTTTGAGTTTCTAGTGCAACTTTCCTTAATTTCTTGGTCTAATCACTACCACAACACCTTATAAAACCTCAATTGCAACATATGAGCATCATATAATAATTTGGGCAGAATTTCCATAAGCCCTAGTTCATCAAATAAATTGGGGAAAACTTCTAAAACATGCTAATCATCCATAATCTCACCATAAAATCAAGTTGCCAAGCTTACTTTAACAAATTTGAAAGCAAAACTTAGAGAGATAAACTCTCTTACCTTGAATAGAAGTCACTACAAGTAGCCCAAGCTTTCTCCTTCAAAAATCACACCACAAGCCACTAGCTAGTCACTCAAGAACAAGTTTAATCGGTTTACTTTGTTGGATTTCTTCCTAAGTTGTTGGATTTGAAGATGAAATGGAATGTTTTCCTTTGGGTTTTTCTTCTTGCTTCTCACGGCCAGCACCAGCAGAAATGAAGAAGAAATTGGCTAAGTGTTGGAGTTAAATGGATAGTAATGGTCTTGGTTAAGAAGCCATGAGGTGGTGACAAGTGTCACCACCACCACCTCTTTTTTTTCTCTTTCTTTCTTGCCTTTCTTGGCCACTAATTTCGGTCAACCTTGCTGCAATTTAAGAAGATATTATGTACAAAAGTCAACAAACTTGTTGGGTAAGAAAAATGGTGGTCAAGCAGTGCGTTCAATCGGTAATGCGCGGGACCCGCCGGTTCGCGCCGTTTTTCTTAAAAACTCACGTATTAGGGTTTTACTTCCAATTCACTAACCTTATATCATTGCCACTAGTCACATATTATTTCTCACTTAAAAGTTACTTTTAATCCCCAAAATTAATCCTTACTCTGTACCGAAAATTCATCCGGTTAAAAATCGCGAAAACCCTAATTTCGCTCCAAACTTGAAACCGAAGTGTAAAACCCTATTTTCTAGGTTTATTTACACTTGTGTGAAATAATTGGGTAGTGGGCTTTAATAAATAATAATTTTCAAATAAAAGGGTATTTTAGTACTTATTGGGCCTTATCGGAAAGCCTTAAAGAGCTGGCTCTTTAAGCTCTTTATGTGGACCGAATTTCTTCCAGATTTATGTGGGCCGGATTCCTCACAAAACTCTATTCACCAGAAATTTTTCCTTTTCTTCTGCCTCGGGGCGTTACATAAACACCATTAAAATAGGACTAATTACCCATGCAATCACGTTAGTAATAAGTCTTTAGCTCAGAATAGAATAGCACTAATTACTCCAGTGTCGATCACGTCACATGGGTGAAAGATAAGATGCTTGAAACTAATGGAAGAACATCACCAACAGTGATTGTAAAAATTGCAAACCTTGCCATGAACGTTATGACAAATATTGAAGTTCTAGTTCGAGTTACTCTCCAACTCATAGGGGAAGACCTAGATGCAGGACCAACAATGAGCTACGTAGTTGACAAGTTACTCCATCAAGAAAGTGACGAATGTTAGAATGCATTTCATATGCTCTTCAATCAGTTGCAATCATCTTGAATTACTGTTAGTATGTGTGTTAAAGTCAGATATTTTCTATTTATGATTGTGGACGAAATATTTGTTATTCAATGATTTTAACGTAAATAGCAATTTCCTTAAAATACCGCATAATCCTCCTATTGTTCAATAACTTCCCTATAAACTTTCCACCTTGTAGATTTATATAACATGTAAAATGTTTAAGGAAATACCTCTACTTAACCCCTGGTGATATGAATAAAGATGCCTTTTAGAATGTGTTTGACTCTAAATATTTACAGAAACTAGGAAGACATGGGTATTTCTCCTCCTAAACATAGATAGGAAGTCAATTAGTGTAAGAAAAAAGAAATAATTAATTCAAAATTTAATTCATAATTGTACTCTTCATTGTCTAAAGTTCTTTTGGTTCTTTTTACCAAGCTGTTTAGAGCACATATAACTGGTTATATTCTCCATTTACAAAAACAAAGGACAAAGAGTAGAATTTTTATTCTTTTTTATGGATCTGTCATCATTTTCCTTTTAAATCAATTTTTAATAGATCTATACATAAATCCCAAACAAATATCATAACTTACTTGTCAAAGACCATATTATTTATAGTGGTTTAGAAATCATCATTACAAACTGTCAAAAAATTTAAATAAATTCAATATTATTAAATTAAGGCCAATTGAATAAATAAAGTTTTTAAGCTATAATAGGAAGTAGTCCCTTATTTTCTATTTTTAGAGTTAAATAGGAATCTGTTCTGCATTTGTGATTTATAGTCTTCAATTGATACAACTACATTATGTTCTATATTTTATAATACATGATAAAAGTTAATACAATAAATATCATAAACGTACATATAATTGTATTTTTTTTAGCATATTTCAATTTAATATCAACCACCTTACATGTATAAAAATAAGTATTTGTTATGTATTGTCTAAATTAGTAGATATTGTTGTCACACTTTATTGGTAGAAAATATGTGTTTCACTCCATAAAACACAAAACATCCAAATATCATCATCCATGTTGCAACTTATGCATGAGATCCTATACATTTGACAATAATAAATAAGATTTATTATACAACTTATCAAAGTGTATAATAAATAAGAAACAATATATTTGTTAATGCATGTGTATTTTTTTCATATGTTTGTATGTTTGTTAAGATTAGTTGGGGCGAATTATGTAATACATACTGTTGATAGGTTGGGGGTTTGTCGATTTGATAAGCCTAAATCGTGGTAAGCTTATCTAATGAAGTTGAAGGTTAGTGAGATAACAAAAGATTTCTGACTATTTGCATGCCAATTTCACTTGGGATGCAAAAACACATTTTTGATCCATGATTATGCACGTCCATCGTTGATAGGAAGTAGAAAACAAGACACGCCCATCATCGATAGGAAGTAGAAAGCATCATTAGAGCCGCTATCATCAAAGATTTTACAAGAATGTTTCAATCCTACCCCAACCCTTCTCCTTCAATTAGAGATCCCAAATGCGCCCCAAATATTATGAGCAAGCATAGAAAGTATAAACTAAATCCAATCCATCATAGGCTACAACCAGAGACATGCATGTCAGTTCTTAGTCATTTGCCATCGTGCCCAACAACAAATTGTTGAACTCCTACCCAAGCACAACTATGATAATTACCAGCACATATGGCCAGAGGCCGATATTAACCAAGTTTATAATATTTTCATATTTTGATCAAGATGGCAATTACCATGACAAGGTGTCTTTGAAACAATGGGTGTGTGAGTTTTGAAAATGCACAGAACTTGGGTTTGAAGTGGCCCTGACTAAGTTTTTTTGGGTTTTGGAATGACGGTTGTGGTGGCTGCATGTGGTGTGATGAATTTGATAAAATGGATGGGAATAAATATGTAGGTAATTGGAAAGACTAAATAGCTGATATGACAATTAATGCATCAAAGAAGAAGACACTAGTACAAAGAGTAGGAACTCCAGTCAATCACACTATAAGCTATACCTTTGTCTGATGTTAGTTTCTTCACTTGAGTAGGAAAACCGTTATCCTTCAAGTTATACAGTTATAGGTACCTAACTCCATGTAAAACTTACTATTTTCATCATTTTTTACAAAGACATTTGCAACATAGGAAAAATTGATTATCCCAGTAGCATTTTTGAATCCAATCTATGGCCTTAAACAAACTTTTGCAGGTAAAACTTAAAGCAAACCTGTAGCACACAAAACCATATCCCCCTTAAGTCTCACCATTTGTATGGCAAATACTGCATAATAACCACAAGTTTCATGTCTCTGAAAAGTTACACACTGACATCATTTTGCATTACTATCAATGATAAGCATATCAAACTTTATTAACTAAAGACCATTTTATACCAAATATGACATACTCCAAAAAATATATACAAATGCAGAAACTTGAAAGATGGCAGGACACACAATTTGAACTGCAGTGATATTAACTCATAATAGCTTTTAAACAAACAATAGTAACAAACAAAAATGTATATTAGAAAGGGCAAAATATCCCAATGTCCCTCAAACTAGTATAAAATTTAATTTTTGACCCTTTAACTATTAATTGATAAGTTTAAACCCTTTAATTAATTAAAATATATAATTTTAGTCCTTTTGTCAACTTCAGTCGTTATGTTTAACAAAAATAGCATGACATGCACAACAGTGGCCTTCAAATGCCCTCCAGGACTTGGTCTGGCGGTTGTGGAGGGTGGGGAATAGTCTGTAGGGTCCACTCCCTGTGGGGGGTGTTTTGTCTTCACAAGACATATGTTAGGGTAAAGTTGTTTTACCCCATTTGACTCACAAATTAATTTACCAAATCTCCAATCATTGAATTTGACCAAAAGGGATGATTTAAGAAATTTCCCCTGAGATTTTTGACAATTACACAAATACCTCCAATATAAAAAATTACACTACTTTTCCCTTGATTGACATATTTGATAATAAACTAAATTCATGTTACAAAAATTAATCTTAAAAGAAATGAATCAGTCTTGTTAAACAAATTATATTCCATGTGTGTCCTCATTGAACTTACTAGAAAATGAGTTAAAATTTTGGACAAGAAAAATGGCAATAAAAAAAGAAGAAAAATTGGCACCAAGTTGATCCACTTAGGACATGAAAATAACATTAAACAAATCAATATTCTGGATAGTAAAGTCCTACAACAACCGTTGGAAGTGCAACGGTACTTTGTGGACAATATATAGCATAAAATGCTGATGAAAAAGGTAAAAATAAAGGCCAATTTCAACTGAATACAAAGGCAACCAGAGAAACATGTTTTCATCAAACTATCACCAAAGCTCATTTCATGCAAGCATATTATTGAGGATCAAAAACAGAAACTATGGGTGTTAATGCAAAGCAATAATTAAAATTTTCGAGTAGTTTGATGGCATCGAACCTAAAGAAGTAAGCAGTCGAAGACGAGAAGATCCAACGCAAGTTCAAAAATCAAAAAGCATTGGCAACAATGTAATGTCACCTATCCAAATACTGATAATAATGAACATGAGTTTACTAGCTATATTCATTTTCATTGAGATTGTAAAGTCCATTTGAAATATGGATAAAATTATAAGAATGTACCAATAAAAGTTGAGCCTTTGATAGTTATATAGTGGTTGAATCAGAAGGCCGCGAAATGGTGGATTTAAATTCATCTATAATATTTAGGAGTTCATTTATTATGCTTCAAAATCAAAGATTCTAGATGTACAAAGCACTATAAACTAAATAAACTAAAACAAATATTAAATATGATAAATAACA